TCCTTTGAACAGCCAGGTTTTCTTTGTTGTTCAGAACATAACCTGGTTCAGAAGGACTCCTACTATCACTTCTGAGTTCCCTAGTGTCTTCTCTGCTGCAGTTAAAGAATATAGCCAGGGGTGCCTAGCTGCACAGTGGAAGAGCATGTGACTCTTGATCTTGAGGTTGTGAGAGTTTGAGTCCCATGTTGAGTATTGAGTTCACTTTTTATTTTTTATTTTTTTATTTTTTAGTTCACTTTTTAAAAAAAAATTTTTTAAAGAATACAGCTAGGTTCCTAATTTGCTTGATGAGGCCGGTATTAACCAGATACCAAAACCAGACAAAGCATGTCTCATAAGAATTTGAGTGCAATAAATCTCAACAAAATATTAGTAAGCCAAATCCAGCAACATATAAAATGAATTATACAGCATGACCAAGTAGAATATATCCCAGGAGTGTAAGGTTGTCTGAACATCCAAAAATCAATTAATAGGATATATCATATCAATAGAATAAAAAACAAATATCACATGGTTATTTTAATAGATACAGAAAAAGCATCTGACAAAAGCCAATGCCTTCGTTTATGCTAAATGAAAGACACTAGTCACAGGAAGTTCACATATTGTATGATTCCATTCATATGGAAGTCCAGAATAGGGAAATCTATAGAGACAGAAAGTGAATTAGTGGTTACTTAGGACTGAGGAAAAAAGGGAGGGAGAATGAGTCACTTGGGTTTTGGTTTGGGCCAGGATTTCTGTAGACTCACTTTGACCTTTTTTCAGGGAGAAAATGGCATTCTTAGTCCCTTTGAAAGCTCTTGAAGAAAACTTGACCTCTCATGATTCCTTCCTTCTAGCTCTGCTTTCTCAGGACTCTACTTCACCAGGAGAGGAGTCTAGAAGACTGATTGATTCTTGGAATTTTAAGTCATCATGGCCCATGTGAGTTGGAATTGCCTTTCGCCAAAATTATAATCATTTATATCACATTGGATGAATACTTTTATTTTTTATCCTTAAGCTGCTTACTTGAGTTACTATTCATTGTAGTAAGTGATATTCGTGAAACAGTCCACTGCCTTCCTTAGGTGTCCCTCTTCTCTCCAGCATGGCATTCAGCACCTCCTGTGTCCCAATACTTTGGCAGAGCACTGAATGAGGAGAAATGTTTTCCCTTAGAAGAAATAGTAGAGACTATCTTTTCAAACCTGTGGGTTAACAAGGTGGAACTGATACACTACAAAGGGATACACTACATGAAAGCTTTTATTTATTCTGTAGGATGGGTTGTTTCAATTAGTAGAGGTAAGAGTTGGTGTTGGTTGGTATTCATTTTATTCATTGGCAGTTTATCATGCTTTTAAATAGAGGATTGATGAAAGGTTAAGTTCAGAGAGATCTGGGATCTTGCCAGGAAATCAATGAGAGATTAATATTATTACTATTTTTTATTTATTTATTTGACAGAGAGAGATCACAAGCAGGCAGAGGCAGGCAGAGAGTGGAGGGGGAAGCAGGCCCCCCGCCGAGCAGAGAGCCCAGTGCAGGGCTTGATCCAGGACCCTGAGATCACGACCCAAGCCAAATGCAGAGGCTTAACCCACTGAGCCACCCAGGTGCCCCTAGAGAGATTAATATTATTAACAAGACATGTGCTGATTGTCAGCTACTTATCCTAGAACCCAGTGATTTTATACAGTCCCACAGAAAATGGTATTCAGTTAAGAAGTGTGTCTTCTAAGAATCCTTTCAACTTCAGCTAACAGAAAATTCAACTAAAAGTAGCCTAAGGGGGGAAGCGTTTATCACATAATAAATCTAGAGTTAGTCATGTAAGCCTGGCATGGCATCCCAGCGGTATCAACAAAGAATTCCTAATTCTGGACTGCCATCCTGTTGTCTGGTGCTTGTCACTGGAAAGTCATAAGGATGTTGTGACTGAACAACTGGAGACTGTAAGAGCATATAGGCACTCAGCTTCAGTCACACTAATTTCCATGTCATTTCCCCCATATGACAGGCAGCCAACTTCAGTTTTTGCTCAGTGAGTATACTTCCTACACTGCCCTTTTCATTTCTTCCCCCTTGTATCTAAAAGATTTTAAAATTTCACCATGATGCTTGTGTTGTTTGTTTCAGCAGGTGATGATGTTCAGGGATGTGGCCGTAGACTTCTCTCAGGAGGAGTGGGAGTGTCTGGACTTGGAACAGAGACATTTGTACAGAGATGTGATGTTGGAGAACTACAGTAACATGATCTCACTGGGTAAGATTCAGAACCTGACCCCAGAAATTTCTGATTTCTACATTGTGAATTTTTGAATTATCTTTCAAGGATCTAAGGGAATTTCTGATTTCCTTCTGGGAAAATGGTTTATGCTTTGTAAATTTGGCAATAGTCATCAATGGGAACCTCCATCTTCTCCATCCTTTAGAAATACTTCATGCCTTTTTCTTGCTGTTCCTATAATTATCTGTCTTCCCTCGTAACTGAGGGACTAGATGCAAATTTTGAAATCTTTACCTCATGGTTATTTCCTATTTCTTATCTCCAATCAGGACTTTGCATTTATCAGCCGGATGTGTTCTCTTTACTGGAGGAGGGGAAAGAGCCCTGGATGGTTTCTCAGGATGAGACAGGAGGACCTTGCCCAGGTGAGTGAGGGCTGAGCTATCACAGGGAAATCATCACTGTAGATAAGAGCCCAGATGTTTAGTGAGGCAGAAGCATCTCTGAAATATTGGCCTCGAGTCTCCTCAAGGGATTAAAAACCTGTGGATAACAATCTGAGACCTAGACAAAAGTAACCTCTTCACCATGCATGTCCAAATGGCCCTTCTCTTCACCTCCAAATACCACTCCAATTCAGTGCTCTTCAGTTTCTTTCCCTCATGTTATAAAAAGGTAAGTGTCATTCTTTTTTTCCAGTAGTCAGTTTATCAGTGCTTTGACACAGTCTTTCTCTCTTTTTTTCATTTAGATATTTGTAAATTTCTGCATTTAGATATTTATAAATTTCTCCCTAAAAAAAAATTGACCCTGTTTTTATTTTACCTACTATATCTTAAATTTTTCTTATTTTGCCTAAATTCTCCCTTCCTTCTGCATTTCCTGCACTCACCAATTTGTTCTTTTAACCAACATTTATTGATTTTCCAATTTCATTTTGGGATCAGAAGGGCTAACAAAGAGTATATAATCTATTAAGAAACTTGTATTCTCTTCTGTGACTGGAACATGCCCATAAATTTTGGCAAAATAGGCTCTACATTAAGAGAGGGCCTGATAGCCTGCTTAGTTGAAAATCAGGATAATAGGTGAAAATGGCTTCTGGCTACAGTGAATAGCAAGCGGCAAAAGAGAGTTGAAGGCTAATGGAGGACAACAAAGAGAGTACAATGTCATAAAAGACAAGTCCTGGCTGTCAAGAGGAAACAAGGCACATATTTGGCAAATTGAGGCTAATTGATGAATTTTCTATTATGGGCAGGACTCATATTGAAATAACATACTCTTGGAGCTTTTCTTTTTCCCCCACAGTATTTGTTAATTGTTTATTTAGGAGGGGTTTTTATTATTTGAAATATCAAGGAAAGAAAAATTTTATTTCCTTATTGGAATCATGTTTTTAAATTCCAGAGGTTATATTTGTGTTTTAAAATCGTTCTTTTTCTGAACTACCAATACCTGAAACAACTTGAATGAATCTCCAGGATATTGTGCTGAATGAAAAATGCCAAAGGTCACATGCTAAATGAATCCATTTATAGAACATTTTGGAAATCACTAAATTATAGAGATTGAAAATATATTATATATATATATATATATATATATATATATATATATAATATATTTTCAATCTCTATAATTTAGTGATTTCCAAAATGTTCTATAAATGGATTCATTTAGCATGTGACCTTTGGCATTTTTCATTCAGCACAATATCCTGGAGATTCATTCAAGTTGTTTCAGGTATTGGTAGTTCAGAAAAAGAACGATTTTAAAACACAAATATAACCTCTGGAATTTAAAAACATGATTCCAATAAGGAAATAAAATTTTTCTTTCCTTGATATTTCAAATAATAAAAACCCCTCCTAAATAAACAATTAACAAATACTGTGGGGGAAAAAGAAAAGCTCCAAGAGTATGTTATTTCAATATGAGTCCTGCCCATAATAGAAAATTCATCAATTAGCCTCAATTTGCCAAATATGTGCCTTGTTTCCTCTTGACAGCCAGGACTTGTCTTTTATGACATTGTACTCTCTTTGTTGTCCTCCATTAGCCTTCAACTCTCTTTTGCCGCTTGCTATTCACTGTAGCCAGAAGCCATTTTCACCTATTATCCTGATTTTCAACTAAGCAGGCTATCAGGCCCTCTCTTAATGTAGAGCCTATTTTGCCAAAATTTATGGGCATGTTCCAGTCACAGAAGAGAATACAAGTTTCTTAATAGATTATATACTCTTTGTTAGCCCTTCTGATCCCAAAATGAAATTGGAAAATCAATAAATGTTGGTTAAAAGAACAAATTGGTGAGTGCAGGAAATGCAGAAGGAAGGGAGAATTTAGGCAAAATAAGAAAAATTTAAGATATAGTAGGTAAAATAAAAACAGGGTCAATTTTTTTTTAGGGAGAAATTTATAAATATCTAAATGCAGAAATTTACAAATATCTAAATGAAAAAAAGAGAGAAAGACTGTGTCAAAGCACTGATAAACTGACTACTGGAAAAAAAGAATGACACTTACCTTTTTATAACATGAGGGAAAGAAACTGAAGAGCACTGAATTGGAGTGGTATTTGGAGGTGAAGAGAAGGGCCATTTGGACATGCATGGTGAAGAGGTTACTTTTGTCTAGGTCTCAGATTGTTATCCACAGGTTTTTAATCCCTTGAGGAGACTCGAGGCCAATATTTCAGAGATGCTTCTGCCTCACTAAACATCTGGGCTCTTATCTACAGTGATGATTTCCCTGTGATAGCTCAGCCCTCACTCACCTGGGCAAGGTCCTCCTGTCTCATCCTGAGAAACCATCCAGGGCTCTTTCCCCTCCTCCAGTAAAGAGAACACATCCGGCTGATAAATGCAAAGTCCTGATTGGAGATAAGAAATAGGAAATAACCATGAGGTAAAGATTTCAAAATTTGCATCTAGTCCCTCAGTTACGAGGGAAGACAGATAATTATAGGAACAGCAAGAAAAAGGCATGAAGTATTTCTAAAGGATGGAGAAGATGGAGGTTCCCATTGATGACTATTGCCAAATTTACAAAGCATAAACCATTTTCCCAGAAGGAAATCAGAAATTCCCTTAGATCCTTGAAAGATAATTCAAAAATTCACAATGTAGAAATCAGAAATTTCTGGGGTCAGGTTCTGAATCTTACCCAGTGAGATCATGTTACTGTAGTTCTCCAACATCACATCTCTGTACAAATGTCTCTGTTCCAAGTCCAGACACTCCCACTCCTCCTGAGAGAAGTCTACGGCCACATCCCTGAACATCATCACCTGCTGAAACAAACAACACAAGCATCATGGTGAAATTTTAAAATCTTTTAGATACAAGGGGGAAGAAATGAAAAGGGCAGTGTAGGAAGTATACTCACTGAGCAAAAACTGAAGTTGGCTGCCTGTCATATGGGGGAAATGACATGGAAATTAGTGTGACTGAAGCTGAGTGCCTATATGCTCTTACAGTCTCCAGTTGTTCAGTCACAACATCCTTATGACTTTCCAGTGACAAGCACCAGACAACAGGATGGCAGTCCAGAATTAGGAATTCTTTGTTGATACCGCTGGGATGCCATGCCAGGCTTACATGACTAACTCTAGATTTATTATGTGATAAACGCTTCCCCCCTTAGGCTACTTTTAGTTGAATTTTCTGTTAGCTGAAGTTGAAAGGATTCTTAGAAGACACACTTCTTAACTGAATACCATTTTCTGTGGGACTGTATAAAATCACTGGGTTCTAGGATAAGTAGCTGACAATCAGCACATGTCTTGTTAATAATATTAATCTCTCTAGGGGCACCTGGGTGGCTCAGTGGGTTAAGCCTCTGCATTTGGCTTGGGTCGTGATCTCAGGGTCCTGGATCAAGCCCTGCACTGGGCTCTCTGCTCGGCGGGGGGCCTGCTTCCCCCTCCACTCTCTGCCTGCCTCTGCCTGCTTGTGATCTCTCTCTGTCAAATAAATAAATAAAAAATAGTAATAATATTAATCTCTCATTGATTTCCTGGCAAGATCCCAGATCTCTCTGAACTTAACCTTTCATCAATCCTCTATTTAAAAGCATGATAAACTGCCAATGAATAAAATGAATACCAACCAACACCAACTCTTACCTCTACTAATTGAAACAACCCATCCTACAGAATAAATAAAAGCTTTCATGTAGTGTATCCCTTTGTAGTGTATCAGTTCCACCTTGTTAACCCACAGGTTTGAAAAGATAGTCTCTACTATTTCTTCTAAGGGAAAACATTTCTCCTCATTCAGTGCTCTGCCAAAGTATTGGGACACAGGAGGTGCTGAATGCCATGCTGGAGAGAAGAGGGACACCTAAGGAAGGCAGTGGACTGTTTCACGAATATCACTTACTACAATGAATAGTAACTCAAGTAAGCAGCTTAAGGATAAAAAATAAAAGTATTCATCCAATGTGATATAAATGATTATAATTTTGGCGAAAGGCAATTCCAACTCACATGGGCCATGATGACTTAAAATTCCAAGAATCAATCAGTCTTCTAGACTCCTCTCCTGGTGAAGTAGAGTCCTGAGAAAGCAGAGCTAGAAGGAAGGAATCATGAGAGGTCAAGTTTTCTTCAAGAGCTTTCAAAGGGACTAAGAATGCCATTTTCTCCCTGAAAAAAGGTCAAAGTGAGTCTACAGAAATCCTGGCCCAAACCAAAACCCAAGTGACTCATTCTCCCTCCCTTTTTTCCTCAGTCCTAAGTAACCACTAATTCACTTTCTGTCTCTATAGATTTCCCTATTCTGGACTTCCATATGAATGGAATCATACAATATGTGAACTTCCTGTGACTAGTGTCTTTCATTTAGCATAAACGAAGGCATTGGCTTTTGTCAGATGCTTTTTCTGTATCTATTAAAATAACCATGTGATATTTGTTTTTTATTCTATTGATATGATATATCCTATTAATTGATTTTTGGATGTTCAGACAACCTTACACTCCTGGGATATATTCTACTTGGTCATGCTGTATAATTCATTTTATATGTTGCTGGATTTGGCTTACTAATATTTTGTTGAGATTTATTGCACTCAAATTCTTATGAGACATGCTTTGTCTGGTTTTGGTATCTGGTTAATACCGGCCTCATCAAGCAAATTAGGAACCTAGCTGTATTCTTTAAAAAATTTTTTTTTAAAAAGTGAACTAAAAAATAAAAAAATAAAAAATAAAAAGTGAACTCAATACTCAACATGGGACTCAAACTCTCACAACCTCAAGATCAAGAGTCACATGCTCTTCCACTGTGCAGCTAGGCACCCCTGGCTATATTCTTTAACTGCAGCAGAGAAGACACTAGGGAACTCAGAAGTGATAGTAGGAGTCCTTCTGAACCAGGTTATGTTCTGAACAACAAAGAAAACCTGGCTGTTCAAAGGAACCATATTTTATTTATTTATTTTTCATTTAAATTTTAGGAAGTTAACATACAATGCAATATTGGCTTCTGGAATAGAAGTCGGTGATTCATCACTTATATACAATACCCAGTGCTCATCATAACAAGTGCCTTCCTTAATACCCATCACCCATCTAGCCCATCCCTCCCCCACCTCCCTCTGTCAACCCTTAGTTTGTTCTTTATCATTAAGTTTTTTATACCTTATTTTACTCTCTCCTTTTTTTCATTTCCCCTTCCCATATATTCATCTGTTTTCTTTCTTAAATTCTACCTATAAGTGAAATCATAGGAGTATTTGTCTTTCTCTGACTTATTTCACTTAACGTAATACACTCTAGCTCCACCCATGTTATTGCAAATGGAAGATTTCATGCTTTATGGTGGCTGAATAATATTCCTTTGTATATATAAACACATCACATCTTCTTTATCCATTCATTGGGTGATGGACATTTGGCATCTCTCCATAGTTTGGCTATTATTGATAATGCTGTTTGAATCTGTATTTCGGTATTCTTTGGGTAAATACCTAGTATTGCAATTGCTGGGTCACAGGATAGTTCTGTTTTAAACTTTTTGGGGAACCTCCATATTATTTTCCACAATGGCTGCACCAGTTTGCATTCTCACAAACAGGGCAAGAGGGTTCCCCTTTCTCTGTAGAGAAACTGTATTTTATTATTTTTTAATTTTTTAAAAGATTTTATTTATTTGACAGAGAGAGACTCAGCAAAAGAGGGAACACAAGCAAGGGGAGTGGGAGATGGAGAAGCAGGCTTCCTGCTGAGCAGGGACCCCAATGCAGGGCTTAATCCCAAGACCCTGGGATCATGACCTGAGCCAAAGCCAGATGCTTAACAACTGAGCCACCCAGGTGCCCTGAGGAACTCTATTTTATTTTATTTTTTTAAAGATTTTATTTATTTATTTGACAGAGATCACAAGTAGGCAGAGAGGCAGGCAGAGAGAGAGAGGAGGAAGCAGGCTCCCTGCTGAGCAGAGAGCCCGATGTGGGGCTCGATCCCAGGACCCTGGGATCATGACCTGAGCTGAAGGCAGCGGCTTAACCCACTGAGCCACCCAGGCGCCCCGAGGAACTCTATTTTAAAGAAATTGTTTTTTATTGTAGTTACAGAGGAGGGAACTCTTGAGCAGAAGAAACTAAAAACTACCTTTTCACAAGGAAAGCACCAGTGATAGCTATTCTGAGATAATCTATCACCTTCCAAAAAAATAACAAAATTAGAACCATTGTGTCCCAAGATACTGTTAGATATGTTTGAAAAGAGTGCCAAAATACCCCTATGTATGAAGAAAACTGCCTAAAAGACATCGGAGAAGATTAAAATTATTATCCAATATTCCAGTATGAGTAAAAAAATAATTTATGATATAATCACAGCTCTGAGGCAAGACTACATGCACAAGTGTTATAATGATTTCAGAAATGGGGAAGAAGTGAGGGAGAGACTTTAAGTGAGAGTTCGTTAAATACAAAAGTTAAAGAGGACATAGGCAGAATCACTTTAGAAACGAAAAACAAATAAGCACAAGGTATGACAAATACCACAGAAAGTGCATAGACAAAGAATACAGAAACTACCCTTTTACGAAGATGGCGCTGAAAAAAGTTAAGAAGGAAGCCCCTGCCCCTCCCAAAGCCGAAGCCAAAGCAAAGGCTTTGAAGGCCAAGAAAGTGGTGCTGAAAGGCGTCCACAGTCACACATAAAAAGAAGATCCACACATCACCTATGTTCCCACGACCCAAGACTCTGCGTCTCGGAAGGCAGCCCAAATACCCTCGAAAGAGCACCCCAGGAGAAACAAGCTTGATCACTATGCCATCATCAAGTTTCCCCTGACTACTGAGTCAGCCATGAAGAAAATAGAAGACAACAACATGCTTGTGTTCATTGTGGATGTCAAGGCCAACAAGCACCAGATCAAACAGACTATGAAGAAACTCTATGACATTGATGTGGCCAAGGTCAACACCTTGATCAGGCCTGATGGAGAAAAGAAGGCATATGTTCGACTGGCCCCTGACTATGATGCCTTGGATGTTGCCAACAAAATTGGGATCATCTAAACTGAGTCCAGCTGGCTAAGTCTAAATACAGTTTTTTTTTTTCTTCATAAAAAAAGAATACAGAAACTAGTGAGCAGAACAAAATAAAAAAAAGAAAGAGATGACAATTATTGGAAGAAAACCATGAAAGTCAGAGATAATCCAACTTACAAATAAGCAGACCCCATGAAAGTCAGAGATAATCCAACCTACAAATAAGCAGACCCAAATCAAGGAAGGGAATATTAAAAAACTACATTTTTAACATTAAAAATAATTTCCTGAGATAAAGCATGAATTTACATAATGATAGTATACTGCAGGGAAAAAAGATTCAGAACTGAGTGCCAAAAATTTTAGTCTAAAACCCATGGGAAATCAAGATAAAAATATCAAGTTACCTATGAGAAAAAGGAAATTTAGTTGTTAACACTTCTCCACTGCTAAATTCAGAGCCCCAAATAGTGAGGCAGTTTCTCAAGTATACCTATAGGAAAATAAATGACAGAATCGAAGATTTTATATGCAGCCAAGCTGTCCTTCAAGTATAATGGATATAAGAAGTTCTATGCTGCAACAGCTTAGGGAGTATTATTCACAAGAGTGCTTTCTAAACTACTACACGACATATTTCCACCTTAAAAGAGAGAATAGAGAAAATTTCAGAAAATTTTTGATTGTATCATCACTTGGCTATATATCTGATAAACTTTGATAAAAAGCTAATTTTACAAATATGGGGAAAATATAAAGAGCAAATGCAAACTAACGACAACAAAAAAAGCAATAGCGCCAGGGTGGTAGAGTTGGTTAAGTGTCTGACTCTGGATCTCAGCTCAGGTCTTCTCCTTAGGGTTGTGAGTTCAAGACCCCCACTGGGCTCAATACTGGGTGTGGAGCTTACTTAAAAATTTAAAAAAAGAAATTAAAAAAAGAAAAGCAATTTGTTTATTTAAAAAAAAAAAAAAGCAGGGGCTATGATCTTGAGCATGCTAAAATACCAAAGCCTACGATTCACAATAAAAATAATGATGACTATCTAGGGACTCCTGGGTGGGTTAGTTGGTTAAGCATCCAACTCTTGATCTGGGCTCAGGTCATGATCTCAGGGTTGTGAGATCGAGTCCTGCATCAGGCTCTATGCTGGGCATCGAGCCTGCTTAAGGTTCGCTTTCTGCCTCTTACCTCTCCCTCCCCTTCTCTCTAAAAATAATTATAATGATGATGATTAAGATGAATATATATCAACTAACAGCAGCAACTTTAATAAAGCAGAAGCTATAGGTTATGTAAGATAAAACTTCACTCACAGAGTATTTTAATGCATTTTTGTCAAGCAAAGACAAATTAAGTGGAAAACAAATACTACTGACTGGCCATATATTAGATCACAAAGAAAAATTCATTAAATTCCAACATTAAAAATACCATAATGCGGGGCGCCTGGGTGGCTCAGTGGGTTAGAGCCTATGCCTCTGGCCCAGGTCATGATCCCAGGGTCCTGAGAGGGAGCCCTGCATCGGGCTCTCTGCTCAGCGGGGAGTCTGTTTCCCCCTCTCTCTCTCTGCCTGCCTCTCTGCCTACTTGTGATCTCTATCAAATAAAAAAAATATATATCATAATGCAGTAAAACTGGAAATTGCAAGCAAAGAGGGGGCCTATGTGCCTTACCTGAATTCCTCAACTTTATCAGGAAGGACTGAGTTCCCTTCATGTCACAGTACTCAAGACACCTTCCATAGCACTAAGGCTAAGACACTATACCACTATATTAGTTCTATCACTAAGCAACAAATTAGCATAAACACAATGGCTTAAAACAATACAAATTTATTACCTTATGCTTAGGCAGTTAGGTAAAAGTCTGAGATGTTTTTCACTGGGCTAAGATCAAGGTGTCAGCAGGGCTGTGTTCCTTTCTGTATGCTTTAAGGGAGAATTACTTATTTCCTTATGTTCCAGAGTCTAGAGGCCACCAACATTGGCTCCCTTCCTTCAGCCAACAATTTTGTTATCGCTGATCATTCTTCTTTGATTCTAGCTCCCTCTGACTCTAAACCCTTGGGAAAGGTTTACTGACTTTATGAATCCATTGGGCCTAATTGGATAATCTAGGATAATTTCTCCATTTCAAGGTCCTTAACTTAATCTTGTTTGCAAAGTCCCTTTTGCCCTTCATGTAAAGCAAAATATTCACAGGTTCCAGGGATTAGGACCCATCTTTGCAGAGAGATGACTTTGCCTACCCCAACGACCTTTAAAGCTTCTGTCCTTGGCTCCTCTCTTCCTGATGGATACTCAAAAATCCACCTCTTTCTATTCTATCACTTCCTCTCCAACAGTCTTGAACCCAACCCAGAATAAGCATCAATATTCCCTGTGTCCATGTTTATGTCCATCATAAGCCTTAGATTCCCTAATAATCTCTCTTTTCAGACACTGTACTCCCACCCAATCAGTTGGATGTACCCCCTTTTCAGCCCTTCCCCAATCTTGACACTTTTTAGTATGCCGTCCGGAATTCATAATTAATTAATAACAAATCCCTCTTCCATCTCCAACTTGTATTTCTTTGAATATTCCCTTCACCTTTGGGTCTAAGGGAAACCTGGCTCTCCCCAAAGGACTCTGCAGCCTTTTCAACATCTCCCTCTCCTACCCCCCCCACCCCCGCAGCTTCTTGCCATTGGGTCTGGGGGGGAGGGTATCATCCTTGTTCTTCTTACTTTCAGACTTTTCTCCTAAAAATCTCTAGTTTGGAATTTCATGCCCTGAGATTATTCATAATATACCTCACTGCTGCTGACATCTACCAAATACAGGATATTGCTCCTTGTTTTTTGAAAACCTGAGCTCACCGCTCACTCTCTGCAACACTACTACCCTCTTTTAACCTAGCAGTTGCACTACATCCACACAGATAAGCCTTGCTTACTCATTCTTACCTGTATTTCTACTTTTCCCTCTCTTGTGACTCATTATCACCAATATACTGCAACATTATCATTCCCCAGCCCCACTAGCTGGTGTTCTATTTCTCTGCTCATATTTACAGAGAAATTCTTAGGATGTGTTTTCTACACTGTCCCCTATTCCTCTCCCCACATTCTTTATTACCCGACTCAACCCAACTAATGGCCACCACAGAAACTGCTCTCCACACATTTACGAATAAGTGTAATTGTTACTAAACGCAATATTCTTTGTTTCTGGCTCCGCAGCTGCTGCTGCTACCACATTTACATACACGGTCAGGCATACAGTGGTGCAGTCACAATCATATACAAGCACAGTCACACCTGAATAGTCATGACAATCACCTACAGCTCCCCTTACCATCGGGCGCATGCAAACACACACACGTACACGACCCCAACCCTACAGCTCCTAAGCGATTACCCCCACATCCCGCTCCCGTTACAATTTCACACTAGCACACACAGATCTCCTCCTGATCGCGCGGGAGCGGACATACACATACACAGCTCCCTACAACCTTCTTTCCCACACCCTCTTGCTGGCAAAGCCTGAGATTCAGAAACATTAATCTCTCACTGCTCACTGTCCTCCCCAGTGGCCTTGGTCCCTCAGGGGTCATTTCGCTTCTGAGTCTTAGACTCTCTTACCTGACCCTGCGGTCGCTACAAGAATGTTCCGCGGGCACTCGTGCGCAATGCTTCCTACGGTCCTGAAAGCGTTGGTGCGCGGACAGGAAGCTGCCTTGGCTATGGTGGACATTGGAAAATGTAGTCAGTGCCTGGACAGCCTTTCAGAACCCAGAGACGACAATCTCAATTCACAGGCCTTGGCCTCGGCAACGACCTTCGCCCTCATAACTGCTCACACCTGGGGCAGAGGGCTTCCATGAGTTCCAGGACGCGTTTAGAACGCAAAACTCCACCGAGGTCTCCACGCCGCTCCTCCACAAATGTGTGTCCAAGTCTGGGAACCTGGACAATAAACCAATGCGGCCTTTACCGGAAGTAGCCTTGGACGCGATGGCCCCTGGGAAATGTAGTTCAGAGTCCTAGAACTACCTCAAAGGAAGGGTTCATTCTTCCCGGCTTGAGTTCGCGGTCTGGGCGTCTGACAGATAAGGCGTGACAGAAAGGTCCTGTTAGTCAGTGCCAAGCGACCTGCAAGTCCTTACCATCTCCCCGTCTGAGCCTTGGCCCGGCCTGGCGGATATCTCTTATCCCACAAGCAGCGACCTGGGGGTGGGATGAAGGGGCCCGATCCCAGGAGGGTCCCTTCTCTGCGAAGCCTTGGGAGCTCCTTTAATCGAGGTGTAGTATCCTTTACATCTTCAAACAAATCCTTTCCTTATTCTTATCTTCCAATTACCATTAAAGAGTTTAGTTTAAATTAATATTCAAGCTTACATTAGTGTTTTGCAAATGTTGTTTATTTCTTGGCCTTTTTTTTTCCCCCTGAAGTTAATACCTGCCAGCTTTTAAAATTTGCTTCCTTTTCTCTGAGCTCATCCTTTAGATGGACAGTATGTCTAAACTTTCTGGAAGAGGAGTAATTTTTTCCAGTCCTTTCAAATTCAGCCTTTAAAAATAATTTTTGAAGATTTTTTTATTGTAAAATAGGTGCAAAACATATTTTTATTGTAAATTTTTTATTGTAAAATACCTGAAGAAAAGTGCATAGAATGTGTACGGTCAGTTCAGTGTATCTCAATACTAACGAAGAGTACATTGTTGGTATCTCAAGAAGAAATGGTCTGTGCATGCGATATTTCTGATCCCAGTCCCTAGCTGACCACTATTCCGCTTGACTATTAGAGTTAAAAATATTGTAGAGGCCGCTTTTAGGCAATCAACTTGAACAATGGAAACCTGAGTAAGATAGAAGGGCCCACAGTAACTCCCTGGCTGAATACAAACAGGCCCTTCAGGAGACCCATCTGAAAAGAATCATAAGCACTAGCTGACCAATGGGTGGATACAGGTACCAAAAAAGAAAATTTCATACTTTCCATTACCTTCTCATCTTCTCCCCTTAACTACAGACCCCCAGCCCTGCCTCACAGCAGTCTGCTTTGCTGTCAATAAACTTCTATCTCCCTTGTTCTGCCTTGGGTGAATTCTTTCACTGCCTGTGCATCTGGCTTCCACCAGATTACCCCAAATTTGGTGGCCCCCATTGGATTGGGGGACCCCACAAATATCTTGGTTGTTAGTTATCTATTTAGATAACTAAATTTCTTTGAAATGTATACAAAGTACAAATCAAATTGTATGAATTTATCTAGCTAGTTGTTAAAACTCTTCATCAAATTAACTGAAAACTCCACACTAAAGGCTTTGCCAAAGGAAAAGTGTGCCCATTCAGGGATGAAAATTATTTTCCTCAGTTACTACTGTCTTGTGGGACCCCAAGATCAATACTCCCTCCAAAGTTGAATGATTCACTAGGAGAACTCACAGTGAAACAATACAAAGCAAAATTAGCAAAGAGGAAAGATGCATGGAGTAAAGTCCGGGAAAAACCAGATGCATAGTTCCCAGGATCCTTTCCAAGTAAAGTCACACAAGATATTAATTTCCCCTGCAACAAGTTGTGACAAAACATGTGAAATGTTGCCAACTAGGGAAGAAGCTCATTAGAGACTCAGTACTTAGAGTTTTTATTGTGGGCTGGTCACATAGGCAGCTTCTACCAAGTGTGCATACCAGAATTTCAGAAGGAAAGCAGGTGTTTAATATAAACTGTGTGATTTGCACAAATAGGCATAGTGAGCCACTCTTATCAGGATAGCAGGACTTTGCTCTGGAAAACTAAATTCTAGATGCAAGCCAAGCACTAACTGTGCAAGCAAACCTTCTAAGGATAAAAATTCTCAGTTCTGCTAGGTTAAGGCTTTTCTGCACACTACTGTCCTAAACAAAATGTCTGACTTTCAACAACAACAAAAATTTTAAGACATATGAAAAGACAGGGAAAAAAAAAATCAAGATGCTCCCAAGAGATTAAAAAGAATAACTAAACTTAGGGGTCCTTAGCTTGTTGCTGCATAACTTCAATCTACCTCTGTCTTCACATGGCCTTCTCTTGTATGTCTTTTCATCTTCTCTTATAAAGACGTTTGAAATTGGATTTAGGTTACACACAGGTAATCCAGGATGAACTCACCTAGAGATCCTTAACTTAATTTCATCTGCAAAGACCCTTTTACCAAGTAAGGTTGATGATAGAGCAAAAGGACAAAGCTGAGGACAAAGCACGAGCTGACATGGTCCCACCCCCAACTCCCTGGTGGGATATGTTGACATTCCTCAGGCACTTCTGGCTGCACTGAAACTAAAGGAAAGGAAAAACAAATGGTTAACTGATAAAGATCACAGTTCTACAGGACATGAATTTCCATCAGTTTACAAATGTCTTAGTGATAATCAAGAAAAATCATTCTTATCAATAACCTAACTTTAAGAGACCTATAACTCAATTTCCTAGAACCTTAACATCACCTTCCCCTCCATGAGTGATGTGGGAAACAGAGGCAAAAGGGAATTTAAACAAAATTAAATTTCTTTATGACTGGCAGCCCACCAACAAATATTGAGATAGAAGGTCCTTTTGGAAACCTCCCTTTTCCTTACCTCCCCCAACTCCCAAGTATATAATCAGTCACCCCTCCCACTTGCAATGCATCTCTTTCTGCCACAGGTCCTGTCCCCATGCTTTAATAAGAATTCTTTCTTAACCATTGATCTGGACCCCAACGTTACCCAAAACCAACTCAAGGTCACAGTCACAGATCTTGTGGTTTAGGATATGGACATACCTATGGGGTGCCACTATTCAACCCACTACAACATGTTACTATGTTTAGTCTTACCCTAATAGATTTCCTTAGAATTCTCATCCTCTCAGTACTATAAATGATACCTAGGTACTGACAACACTCAAATGTTTCTCTTTAACATGGACTATCTCAGTGTTTTAGGAGATTAAAGACAAAATTCTTTATCTACCCCCTAAAACTTGCTCATTCCATAGTTTTGGGTTTTTTTAAAGATTATTTATTTATTTGAAAGAGCATGTGCCATACATGCTCATGCATGCATGGCACACAGAGGGTGGGGCAGAGGGAGAAGGAGAGAATCCCAAGCAGACTCCCTGCTGCTCCTTGAATATACAGGCTTGTGCCCAACCCATAGCATTTATGTTTTGGTGTTTTCTCTGTTTATAAATTTTGCTTTATCCAAATATGTTCAAATGTTGCTACTCCTTCCTTTTAGTTTGCTCAAATATTTTCTTCTTAGTTAAGCTTTTCCTAACTATTCTATTTAAAATTGCAATTCCAAAAATAAAATAAAATATAATAAAATTGCAACGCCCAGGGTGCCTGGCTGTCTCAGTCAGAAAAGCATGCTACCCTTGATCCCAGGGTTGTGAGTTCAAGCCCTACATTCGGTGTAGAGATTACTTAAATAAATAAAAGTTTAAAAAATGTAATTCCTTTGGCACTATCTCATTTTTAAGCTTTCCTTCTCTCTACAGAGGTTACCTTTATCTGGAATGCTATATATTTCATTTACACATTCATTGGCCACTTTCCCTGACTAGAATGTAAACTCCTTGAGGAAAGGAAATTTGGGCCATTTTGTTCACCGATGCTTCCCTGGAATAGAACCGGGCACAGATAAAGGGCTCACTAGGTCACACTGAGATGCTAAATGAAGAAATACAGTGTTTGACCGGAACAGGAAATAGGCAGTCTCATAAATTTTTTGGTGGGAATGGAAAGTGATTCATCTAATGTGGATTGCAAATATTTATACATAACTTCTGGCCCAGCACTTCTTAAAGGAATTTGTTACAAAAGTGCATGCACATCTATACAAAACCGAGTATATATATTTTTCCAGAATTGTAGAAATCCGAAAACATACTAAATATTCACTTATATGCTATTAAAGTATGACAATTTCCCTACCACAAAACACAATACCACCATACAAAAGAATAATAAATATGTATTAATATGGGATGTCTTCTAAGAAATAATAGTGAGTAAAAAAAAAACCAGATGCCTTATAGTATACTAACATTTGTGAAAAATAAAGATGAGGGGCTTTATATACATAGATATGTTGTTGTAAATATAGAATTACTCAAAGAATTTTACATATGAAACTAGTCAGAGTAGATGCAGATGGAGAAGAGAAATCATTGAAAGGGAGACTTTTTTCCACTATAACCTTGTTTAAATATTTAAGATGAATGAGATAATTACTTCATAGACAATTGTGAATAAAAAAGGTTGGCTGAAAAGAGAGCTAGGAGGAAAGCAGCAATCATTTCTAAGCTAGTAGCTTCAAGAGGTGATGAAGGTTGCTGAAATATGGCTATGGGAAATAGATAATTGGAAATGCAGGTGTAAAATATAATCCTGAAGCTTTTAGTTATAGAAAGCTAGAAAATGGAATGTAATAAAAAAAGAAACTTCAGTGTGCAACAATACTAGTTTTGAAATACTAAAGATTAAAAATTTATTTATTTATTTATTTATCAGAAAGAGAGGCCACAAGCAGGGGAGCAGCAGGCAGAGGGAGAATCAAGCTCCCCACTGAGCAAGGAGACTGATGTAGGACTCTGTGGGACTTGATCCCAAGACGTGGGATCATGACCCCAGCTGAAGGCAGATGCTTCACTGACTGAGCCAGGCATCCAAGACTGCAGATTTGTGAAGGACTGACTGCATATGTAGACTATGACAATGAAGAGAATATGGTCCTCTAGGATTACTTAAATAAAAGAGGGCACTGATAGAAGAAGAATGATGACAGAAGGATTCACACAGCTAAGACTCAAGGAGAGTAGGGCCTATAAAGGAAAGCCTGGAAAACATTTCAGTGGTGTCAGCTCTCTCACTGAACATCTGTGTTCTGCCTTAACCCAAGCATATCTGCCTGGTTCTCATCA